CCCCAAAACCCCAAAACCCCAAAACCCCAAAACCCCAAAACCCCAGAGGTCTGCCAAGTGGTTGAATTAAGCGAAGCAAGAGTAACAGGATAATTTTATTCTTGAATTAGTGCTGTAGACAGCCTTAAAATTTTTCTTCTTCTAAAGGCATGCCTTTCAGAGGCTGATTTTGGATGTTCTGGCTGGTCGCAAAGGGCGGTTCAGTGACTTGAATGTTTTGAAAGGGGGAGTCGGATATAGGGGATGGGCCAGGGGTGTCATATTTTTGGCTCTGGGATGCCCTTGGATTGGAGTCAAGCTCTATCTGATAGTCTTCTTGTCGGAGGTTTAGTGCTTTCTTTTTTCTTCAGGAAGTAATTATTGATTTTATGAGGAATATGAGGCATACTATGAACGATATTGCTGAAGCAGAGACAAATATTGATGTATAAAACATTTCATAAGATGAAGTCCAGTCTTCCTCTAATTTTAACCACAATAATGGCACTATCAAGAAAGAGAACATTATCTGATTTACACATTCAATAATACTATCTTGTGGGTTTTCGAACGGTCTTGAAGTAAGCAAATAAATCCCGTAAGAAAAGTTCAGGACACAGAATAAAACAATTTTAAAAACTGGGTCAAATGATTTCCCTCAAATGATGAGCAATGTCAGCAATAGTCTCACCAACAAGAAAGCGCTTGAATAAAACTTGGAGTATTTGTTTGTCTTGACTCCATTAAAGTACTCACTTCATCGCCAATACTTATCTGGGTCAGCTTGAGAGCATGATATATAATACATATAAAATCCTAAAAGAAGCAGCACAGTTGACAATATTGCCAAAGCTAATCATAACCCAAAAGATATTCCGGCTACAGTCGAGTTGAAATTGACTGCTCTAAACTCAGAGAAAATAGATAGACACAAGAACAAGAATGCCTGGATAAACAGTCTGATATATATGTTGAACGTGAAGAACTTGTAAAGCTTATCAATAAAACTTTTTCATTTTCTATGATTGGAAAATTTAGTACACTTTGACATTATACAAATTCCTCAATGAATGAATCCAAATAAAATAACAATTAACAATAACGACAAATTATTTGCGATTGAGCTCATAGACCTTAATCCAAGATCATTCAGGTAATCATCGGTTTGAGGATACGACAGAGAACCTGAAATATCGCTAATAAACCATAGATCTTTGATATTAATGAAATCGAAAGATAGCATTGAGAAGCTTATTCCGTTAAGATATGCTTCGACTACAGGAGATAAGTAGCCAGGAACCATAGGTAATAACAATATCAATTGCATACCATTCATAAGGCTAAATACTGCGTTTATAGATGACAATGATAAGACTGATGAAGCACTAGCAGCCATAATACTTCATCCAATAAAAACAGTAGTAGTCTCAGTTGCTCCAGTTATCGCAACTGCTTCAGTTGTTGCAGTTTGTGTAGTTGATGAAGTTACAATGGAACAAGATGTTCCTCCGCTAGAGCTTTGGAAGCCATCTGTGCAAGTCTCTCAAATACTGGGGCTGCCCAATTGTCAGAGGACTCAGTGTCCAATTGTTCACTCTTCAACGGTGATCTGAAAGTTCTTGTAGTGAACCTCGCTGTTGAAGGCAATCTTTAGGGAAAAGTAATAAACCGTCGCAACTGTAAGTCTGGGGGTGGTGGTAAGATTTAACTGTAGGTTGCTTGCGTCCAAATGTACCCAATCAGGGAGCACATTGGTTCCAGTCTGGTTCAGACTGAAAGTGATCGCAGTGTTATTTGATGACTGAGCACAGGCCCAAGTGAAACTCAGCTGGACCGAAGAGTTGCTCTGCACCGACTGTACGAGGTCTGCGTTCCATAAAGCCACATACTTGGCAAATGAGGGGTTGGTCGATGATGTGATATCTGTGGTGGTGACAGCTGAAGAGGTGGCAATATTGAGCGTCTTAGTACTTGTTGTGATGCTTGGGTTAGATGCTGTTGCAGACGCCTGGTAGTTTGTGGTAATTGGACTGAACAAAGGAGTGTCTTCTTCAAACTCAGAAAGTTGTCCAATGTTGTTTGTGGGTGATCTTGCAAGGAAGAATGTGTTATTGGTGGGTAATCTTCCAGAATGAAACATTAGCTCTTCCTCTTTATATAACAACCTTCCAACTGCAAAAGCACTCGAGCTCACAGACTTGTACTCCTTCACAACTTCTGCGGCCGAGGGGGAGACCAGAACCAACTTTTTATCATTTGGTAATGAGGTACTGCGAATCTGAACGGCAATGAAATCACTGAACTCTTTCATTCAGTAACTAGTATAATACCCACTGTCGTTCCAAATCAGCCCTGAGCTTTGGGGACTCCCATCGGTGGTGCTGAGTTTTTGGAAAATAAAGTTGCCATCGTACAGTATCATTGTGTAGACCCACTTTTCATCTCTGCTCACCAGGGAGCTGCTGGATTTGTTCACTCAGCCCGAAGTGGGACAGGCAATGCTCTTCTTCCAGACCAGGCTGGAGGAGGAGAAATTGTAGTTCACCAGGTAGTATTGGTCGGTAGCTGTGTCAGTTGATCCAAAGAACAGCAGATCAGCACTGATTGGAGCCAAATTGGCCTGACTGTTGACTCCGAAAGTGAATCAGTCGAGATTGGTATTTGCCATGTTCCATCTGCAAGTGTGCATGATTGAGCTAATGGTGAGGCTGAAGAAGAAGCCTTCACCCACTTCCATGTTTGAATTCAAATCCACAGAGGCAGAGCTAACTGACAACTCCCTGGAGATGACCATGTCTGAAGTCCTGATCTCGAATATCTTTCCCGTAGTCAAGTCTTGGATATAGATGAACTCCCTGTTTGGAGACATGGCGTAGGAAAGGTAGTTGCAGTAGATATCATAAGTCATCACTTGCACTATGCCCAGGGCTGGGTCCGACTTGTAGATTATTGTGTCCCATGGAGGTGGAATAAAATGCCCAATGAAATAGAGTAATTCATTGCCTTGGTCTTCCAAAATATCCAGAAGATTGACGTATGTAAGTCCGGCCATTCCGAAACTTCGAGAGAGAGAAGATCCTGCAGTCTGGGCATCGTTCTGGCACACATTGGCTGCCACAGCCAGGATACATAAGATTAAGATACTCATGTGTTTCATTTTTAACATTATTAATACTAGAATTCTCAACTATTTATTTGGTGTGGGGTTTTGGGGTTTTGGGGTTTTGGGGTTTTGG